ATTTTGCAATATAGCTCTTTAAAGTTTATATTTTCTTATGATTTATGATAAAATTTATAACATAAAAATCGATTTTCTGAAGATCTTTTTTTTGTGAGTTTGGGCCCTTTCTACTGCAAAGGCCTCATATATACTTTTTTTGCTCTGAAGATTATTTTATATAAGTTTATATTAGTAATATTAAGAAGAAGTAATTTAATTTTATTATATACTTATCTGATCTCTAAAAACGAAGACTGGAGCTATAACCTAAATAATATCAGACCAATCACACTTCTTGAAACATTTAGAAAATATGTAACAAAGATCTTTACAACATGATTGGCAAAAATCCTTCAAGAAAAAGAAATTTTCAAAGGGGACAACTTTGCAGGCCTTCTAGGAAATTCTACAGAAACACCAATACACATATTTAATGCAATTGTAAAAAAAGCTACAGAAAAGAAAAAAGAGCTATGGATCCTATTTCAGAACATGAAAAAAGTATTTAACTCAGTTTTATTAGAAGCAATCAAAAGAGACTTAAAGTACCAAAACAAGCAGCCGATTTTATTCTGAATCTTTTTACAGAAAGGCAAATTTATATTATTATAGCATTTGGATTTGCAAAAAAGTTTCAAGCAAATAGTGGAATAAAACAAGGAGAAGTTATCTCTCTATTAATATAGCAAATCTTCTATAACCTACTATTGTATATAGTTAAAAAAAAATCAAGACCTTGGCTACAAACCTCCAAAAATTTTTTATAGAGATAATCATCGATATATAGCAAAAAATCAATAAGTATTGATTAGAAAATAACGATATATATCAATATATATATATAAATCAATATATACAGTCGACTCTGGATATACCGAACCTGTTTATACCGGAATCGGGTTATAACGAACCAGATTTGGCAGACTGGATTTTTAATAATTATTTAAGCTGGTTATACCGGACTAAATTAGAAAATTCCCTATACCGCATCCGGACAATTTTTTATCAGCTCATGACTATGTGTACATATTTCTCTATAACAAACTATCATGTGATGTTTTTACTGACCAATCAAATTTCAAGATTAGTTGTAGTGTAATAGCTTAAATTTTAATTAAGAGCGGCAATTCTACTAAGTTGTTCGCATTCTACACTTTATAGAATAATTTTTATTTAGCCAAGTGCAACTTCAGGTGCTTTAAGTTGCAACTTCGGGCAAATGTCAACTTGGTTATGGGTAATACAAATCGAAATCGAAATTAATTGATTAGTTGGTTAATTGACAACTAATCGACTGAGCTTTTTAGACACAAACTAATCGATTAATCGATTAATCGACTAATCGATTAGTTGCAACTAATCGACTAAAGAATTAATTGATTAGTTGTAAAGGATCGATCGAAAAATTAGTTATTTATTTAATGAATTACTGTAGTTGCAACTAATCGATTAATCGATTAATCAACCAGTTGCAACTAATCGATTAATCGATTAATCGATCAGTTGCAACTAATCGATTAGTTGCAACCAACTGAAAAAATAATGACCAACTAATCGATTGAAAAAATTTTGACGATATGTAACACTAGTTACGGGTTAGCTTCCCGAAATTCATTTTTCTGAAATACTGTTTCACCGAAGCCATAATGTTAGCTTCTCGAAATTCATTTTTCTGAAACACCGTTTCACCAAAGCCATAATACTGACAATCCATTATATTTCTTGTCGAGAAATCTGATTGTCAGAAAATTAGTTTGATCAGGAAAAAAAGCATTTGTAAAAACTTCTAGAGAAATGGATTAAAGATATCAATCGGGAAACTGATACTTCGAGAAAGTGGCATCAGTAACTTTAGATACAACGTAAGACAATAATTTATTTCACATATAATATTTTTCAAACTTAATACTGTATTATTTATATTGGGTTTCTCAAAAAATCGGTATTTATTACAAATAGTTAATATGAAAACAAAATAGAAACTCTTATTTCACGAAATTCAAGCATACAGAACTTAAATCAAAAACTATTCCTGAAGAGTGTGAAAAAATGAAATACTGTACGCTTCACAATCTTCATATTCTCCATGAGGTCCGTTATATTCTCTAATACTGTTGATTTATTCTATCTAACAGGGTTATATTTGTCAAGAATTTCATCTATGTCTTTTATAACTATGACGAGGTTTTCTTCATCACATAATTTCCAGAATGTCTTGCTAGTCACGCAAAATCGATGGAATTTGCAGTTCATAATGCTCATTATTGTGGACCGGCTTTTGGTGTTGCGAGAAAACCTATGATTAAAATTTTGATCTTGTTCTTTTCATTGAGACACTTGTGAAAACCGTAAAAAGCACAAAAGTTTTTGACACTTATCGAATGTCATAAGATTTTAATTACTGGTTTTTCTTGGCATTAGTAAAAGTTAGTTTTTGTCTAAAAATAATGCGCAAGCAGGCATCATTTCGTAAAACCAAATTAGGTGCAATGAAACAATATTTTTTTTACCTTGTTGGATTTATCATGCATTTCTTGATGCCTTGACACATTGAATAATTTTCTTTGTCGCTATTCTTAAGCATATTGTAATTGTTTTCTCATTGTTTCTATTTAACAATGGCTATAATACAATCTTTTGTTCTGATTCTTCTCTGTTAAAATAATAATTGCAGATAGAAAATGAGGCATAATAAATAATATTAAATATACCTTGCAAGAATTATAGGATGTCACGAATGGATCAGCTTTATTCCCATTTAATCTTCTAAAATTTCTAGTTGCACAAGAGTTAAGATAATAATTGCAGGTAGAAAAAATAATACAGCTTGCATGAATTATAGTATGTTACAAGCGGATCGGCCCTATTCCCATTTAATCTTCTAAAATTCACAAACGGATCGGCTCTATTCCCATTTACTGCTGTTTTCATAAATTCTGGAACATCTGGCAAAAAATTGACCGACTGAATATTTGCCGATTTGATAAGTTTTTATTCATTGCTGTAATCACACCCGAATCAGAAGTTTATCACTGAGAATCAAAAACTTATCGAATCGGCAAATATTCGGTCAGTTAATTTTTTGCCAGATATCTGTAATCTTCTTAAAATTTTCTAGTTGCGCAAGAGTTAAAATAATAATTGCAGATAGAAAAAAAATACAGCATACCTTGCATGAATTATAGTATGTTACAAATGGATCGGCCCTATTCCCATTTAATCTTCTAAAATTCACAAATGGATCAGCTCTATTCCCATTTAATCTTCTAAAATTTTCTGTTAACAATTGCACAAGAGTTAGTCTAACTGCTTTTATTTTTATTTTTTTGAATAACAAAAATAACGATACAGTATTCCCACTAAAGATGCGGTAGAATCGTCCCAATGATAGTCGTCACATTGCCGTAACTTACCATAACTATAGCAAGTAATATAGCAAGTTACAGCATTATAGCTGTAACTTACTATATTACTTGCTATAGTTACGGTAAATTACGGCAATGTGACGACTATTATTGGGACGAGTCTACCGCATCTCTAATTCCCACACTATTTCAGTATACGGCGTAAGTTGCTTGACTGCATGCTGCATTACGCATCTATACTTATTCATATGCATCTATACTAGCATCCAGACTTTCACGATTTCAGGAATTTTCATTGTTTAAACTATGAGAAATCACTAAAATCGCGTAAGTCTACTGCATGTTATATAATTATAATTTCTATATCAAGATAATTATCTGTAATTCATAAATTTATATAAGTTATCATTAGATATTCTTCGTTGTATCTTGTATAAATATTTAGTCATTACAGGTCATTCATACCTTACATCGGTAATTATGTCAACAAAAAAACGAGTTATTCTTTCTGCCACGCAAAAATGGGATATTTGTAAGGAAAAAGAAGCGAATCCACTTATTAAAAATATAGATCTTGCAAATAAGCATAGTGTAGGTAAGTCGACAATATCAGATATTCTAAAAGAAAAAGAATGTTGGTTAGCCATTGCAACTGAAGAAGAAGGTGAGGTAAAAAAATTTCGTGGGCCAAAATGGCCAAAACTTGAAGAAGCACTTGGTCTCTGGGTGGATAATGCGCTTAATAGTGATCAAGATATTGATGGTCACATTTTCAAGGAAAAGGCAAAGTTTTTTGCAGACCATTTTCTTATTAATGATTTTTACCAATCCGATGGTTGGCTTACTGGGTTTAAAAAATGTCACGGACTTCGTCAGTTTAAAAAAGAGGGTGAATCTGCAAGTGTGCCTCCTCCGGAGGAAATAGAAAAAGACCGGCTTGTTTTACAACAATTACTCCAACCCTACGACCCCAAAAATATTTAGAATGCAGACGAAATGGGACTTTACTGGAAAATGAAACCTTCCCGCACTTTGGCTCGTTCAAAATTATCTGGGTATAAGAAAGAAAAATCGCATGTATCAATATTATGTGCTGTAAATGCAAGTGGAACTGAAAAAATGAAACTTGCTTTTATCCATACTTCTAGGAGACCACATGCTTTGCGAAATATTAACTATGATAACCTTCCTGTTCATTATTATTCGAACAAAAAAGCTTGAATGCAAATGAGTATCTTCAATGAACTCCTCTTCAAGCTTAATAGTCAAATGAACCAAAGAAGTAGAAAAATCATACTTTTAGTTGATAGAGCACCAGTGTATGTTGTTCTCGATGAAACAAAAGCGAAACTAAATTGTGTACAAGTCGAGTTTCTTCCAGCAAATACAACTCCGGTTCTCCAATCCTGTGATACAGGAGTTATCTATTCGTTCAAGTGCCACTATAAAAGCCTTTTTATCCAAAACCAGATTAAGGCATATGATGATGTACAAAATGGGGTAAAAAAGGAAGTGGTGCCGTATAGTATTTATAATGCTATAATAAATTCGGCTGAAGCATGGTCTATAGTATCTTCAAATACTATTAAAAATTGCTAGCGAAAAACCAGAATTCTTCCACAAGAAAACTCCGAAGAACCTATCGAATTTAACCAAGACAGGTATTATTAGCATCAATATTTAAAGATCCGTTTAATTTGAATTTGTATACTTATCTTAGAAATGTAAAAAAAAAAAAAAAAAAAAATTAAAATTTTAGCGACATGGATAATGAATCAAACCTTTCAGAATTAATTACCCAATTACCAACAAATGACTCCCTTGACTTCTTTACCGCGTATAAATACATTCATGCTGAGGATGAAGAAGTTAAAAGTGGGCTTACCGAAGAAGAAATCTTGGAAATTATTGAAGGCGAAGACGATGAAAATGAGAAAGAAGAAGCAGAAGAATCTCCTATTGAACAAGAAAAAGTCACTTACACAGATGCAGAATATTGCGTAAACCAAACACTAAGGTTCTTATATAAGCAAGGACCAGAGTTTGGTGAGGTCGAAGAAGAAGTTTGAATTTTAAGAAAACTTCACAAGCAGGTTCGGCTAAATGTTATAAATAATCTCAAACAAGCTGATCTACGTTACTATTTTCAGTAAAAAAAAAAAAAAAAAAAAAAAAAAACCGTTTTTTAAAATAACTTTCACTTTTTTTTTATTTTGTACATACGTCTTATGTATACACTTTGTCTTGGTTCGGTAATCTGTGCATTGCGCAGTTAAATTGTATTAAATAAAATTTTTTACAAGCTTGGTCACGTGGACGTATTTCTATTGGTTAGCTATATATACCGAACGTTCGGTATAGAGAGAGTAATCTTATATAACGAACTTACTCTATACCAAACAAAAAGGTCCAGAATATGCAGTCCGGTATATCCAGAGTCGACTATATAATCAATAAACTTAATTTGGTAAAATAAAATAAAGATAAAAATTTGAAATAATGAAAAAACTGAATTTTTAAAATATAATATATCAAAATTAATAT